GATTTCCTGCCAACTATGTCACTGTCTGTCCAGTGGGTTCCATCGAAGCAGAATAAGGCTGATGTTTTGTCGCGTGTTCCAGCGACATTTCTTACCGTTTTCAAGTCCCTTGCTAAAACCAGTGATGTTGTGTCTGCTGCTGCTGTTCCCCTCCGAGACAGTGTTATCAGTTTAGCAGATATTGCTCACCACCAGTCAGCTGACAGCACTATTGCAGAAGCCATCCTGTGTGTAGCTGACGGTCAGCTTATGTGTCCTGCCGCCTTCAAGAAGATCAGGAGCAAACTCGTCGTGGAAGATGGCGTACTGAAACGCAGCATCAAGCTACCGCTCGGTGAGATTGTGAATGTGCCTATTATTGCCAAGTCTCTTGAGAGTAGTGTCCTTACTCACTCACATACACTGACCGGTCATGGATGCTGGGAAACTATGTACCGTTTTCTTCGTGAGCGTTGTTTCGTCGCTGATCTTGCTTCTAAGTGCCGGAAGTTTGTTACGTCGTGTCGTGAATGCTATGCAGCCAATCCTCGACGAGGTGAGTCCGTACCTCCTGCACGTGCTAGTATTACTGAGGGTCCTTGGAACATTGTCCAAATTGACACTTTGGAGCTAGGAGCTGCTAATGACTACCACTGTGTACTTGTTAGTTACGATACCTTCACGAAGTGGGTAGAAGTTGTGCCCTTACGGCGTCACGATGCTAAAAGTGTTGCGTCTGCCTTTGTTAACGTATGTGCCCGCTGGGGCCCGCCATCTGTTGTGCGATGTGACAATGGCACTGAATTGTTCAACCAAGTAACTTCTGCGCTGTATGATGCATTTGGAGTTACAGTTAAGAGAGGTGCAGTAAGGCATCCACAGTCACAGGGAGCTGCGGAACGGTTTAACCGGACATTGTTAAACCTGATTCGCAAGACACTAGGTGATGCAGATGATTGGCATGCTGAGCTGACCGTAATGGCAGTGTTTACCAGGAACAGGTGTGTGTAGGTGTGTGTGTGGGGGGGGGGGGGGGTGGTGGTGTGGTGTGCGTGTGTTGTGTGGGTGTGGTGTGGTGTGTGTGTGTGTGTGTGTGTGTGTGCGCTCACTGTCCCATTTGTGAACGCTGCTGTAAGTCGATCCGGGGCTTTGCTATCCACAACTGCAACCGATCCACCAGGCGCCCAACTGCTGATGAAAGGGACAAGTTCCAATTGCAATGTCAGAATTGCCAGAGGCGTTTCAAAAGGCGAAACGACTTATCCCGTCACCAACGCTCATGTCTCCTCTCGTCTCCGTCTCGCTCAACGAGAAACACGTGACCTACATGGCAGTGTATACCAGGACCAGGACCAGGGACCAGGTGGTTGTGTGTGTGTGTGTGTGTGTGTGTGTGTGGTGTGCGTGTGGTGTGTGTGTGTGGGGGGGGGGGGTGGTGTGGGTGTGGTGTGGTGTGTGTGTGTGTATGTGTATGTGTGTGTGTTTGTGTGTGTGTATGTGTGTGCCAACCTATCGGAAGGCTACTTTCTAGCCAAAAGCATTTGGAAGTTTGACTTATTGTCTTGCCTGTACAATATTACAATGTACACAAACACAATCATGGTGTTTCCTTTTGGCAGAATGGTGGGTGCAGTTTTAGATTTTGCACGCATAGGATCGGCCTACTAACCAATCACTGACGGCTTTTAACCATGCCATCGGAGAGCATCAGTGCAGATCGTGAACTGGCTTTAATGCACTGGATTGCCACAATAATAGACGCTGGCACTAGCCTAACTGGTCAGTTATGGTGGAGTAGCTTGTGGAGGAAAGATCTCATTTCCCCTCTAGTGTCTGCTACAGTCCAATACAGCTGTGTGTCACGTGTACCTGCTTGACAGACATGTTTACAACACAATCGCTCGGAGGGGAAATTTGTATATGTGTGTGTGTGGGTTTGTGTTTGTATGTATTTGTGTGTGTGTGTGTGGTGTGTGTGTGTGTATGTGTGTGCGTATGTGTGTGTGTGTATGTGTATGTGTGTGTATGTGTGTGTGTGTCGATTGGAAATAGCTGCACATGCGGGTTCGATTCCAGACGATTATGGTCGCACACGTCTTTCTTCTCTTTCTCAGACTCCTCCTGACTACTAGTATTCTTTCATTCTCCTGGGTGGTTACCAACAGCCAGTGCATGCCGGAGTATGTGGTGTGATATGTGTGCGGGAAAAAAATGAAAAAGACCAAAAAGTAGGGATTCACTGGCCAGAAAAACCTACTTCATAGCTGTGTGGTGTAGACCAGGCTGAATAGTGGTGGTCAATAGATGACTTGCACAAAGATTGTCTGGGTTCGAGACGGGGCAAGTGGACCTTCTGACTCTGACTTCCCCACCTTTTGAGTTCGTGACTTTCGCTTTTTGCCTGACGAACACTGCTGTGCTGACCTAGTTTTTTTGGCTAGAGAGTAGAGTTGTTTTGATTCGGCTTGTAACGTCATGCCGAAGCGCTGCTGCGCTCCTGAATGCACTGGCACACGAGAGATGGAACTGAGGCTCCCATTCCATACGTTCCTTGCCAAGCCGGCCGGCCGGGAGGCAGAAAAATGAGGGAATAAGTTTAGTATCATTGGCGTAGGCTGCAACAAGCACGTCGTGGTCCTGAAGTGTGACTACTTTCCCGCAGTGGAAGCGAAGTCAAGCACAACGAAAGTTTGTGGACGTCTGAGAAAGAACTCGATTCCCTTTGTTTCGGCTGCACTAGCTCCATAGCGACCCTCTCCTGAGGACAGATTGCGGAGAGGCTAGGAACCTGCTGAGTCACGACTGGAAGCCCAAACCACGAAAATGAAGGGTTGAAGGACTGAGTGTGAGAGCCAGATGGCCTTTAGTAGTACTTCAAGTAGTATCTGAGTTGAAGGAGAGAACAAGTGTGCTGGAGAAACGCTGCGAAGTCCTCAGGCCTGATGTGTACTAGCTACTGTTGAAGTCTCACTTGTTCCGATATGAACATTTCATCAGCCCTGACTCTGAGCAGCTGTATCTAGACTTGGAC